TTCTTGCTCTGTGGTTGGCCCCACAGTTGGATGCAGGATAGTGAACTCACAGGCCCAGTACCCATGCAGACCTTCCTGAGGATGCTCACCCTCAAGGATATGGCCCAGGGAGGATCTCTGGGTGCCAGAGCCTACGGCGGGGGCAGGGACAGGAAGCTCACCCCCAACTAATTGGTGGAGTATTGCGTCTCACAGATTTGTCATTCAGTGCACAACTTCTCTGCACAGCCCACACAGCTAATCCCTGTACTATATTTCTCTCAGTTTTCCTCCTCCACCCACACTTCTGCTGACTTCTCTCTGCACAGGAGAGACAGAGCAGCTGAGGAAACAGAATGGTGGGGGGAAATTTGAAAGTGTTTTGAGCCCACCCAACCTCAGAAGAACATCCAAAGCAAAACAGGAAGAGTAGGAGACCCTCCATCTCACACCCAAGCCAAGGATCGCCACTCCCTCCTGCCCACCTCCAATCCCAACAGGGGCTGACTGCTGGGACCAAGCTTTGGTGCCCACATGCAAAAAAAAAAAAAAAAAAATGCAAATTTTTAGAAGAATTATGAAAGAGACTCCATTGCTCAGCTATTTCAGATACTGTGTCTTAGGGTGTAGGGGCACAGTAAGCTCGCTCATTCCATCCATGCCCACCCCTACCCCCGCCTGAGAATTCTACAAGCACCATGGGTCTTAAGTTAGAGTGTGTAAGAGGTCATCACACTGGGAGAAGGGATACAGGTCCTCGGATGGATGACTTCATCCTGGCAACCGAAATGAGAGTGCCCAGCTAGAGCACAATCAATGAATCAGTGCCCGCCCTCCATGAGTGCAAGTGTGTGTGGGCATGTGTGGGCATGGGTGTGGGCGGGATTCGATATTACTCATTTTCTTTCCCTTTTTTATTTCAACTCTTTCCTACAGCACTCCAGAGTTTTTGAGGCTCCTTCCCCCCACTAAGGATCTAGGGTGGGAAAACCATAGAAATGAATATAGTTCTTGCTCCCTCTCTTTCGCAAGAGATTTCAGCTAGTTAGATGACTTGAAGTGGGCAAAGACCAAAGGAGATTGACTCATTCATCAACAGACCTTTGACGATGTCGCTACAGATGAATTTTCAATCCTCACCCACTTTATGATCTAGGCTCTGCTAAACAGAGCCACATGAGAAATATGTCACCTCTGGTCTACTTTATTCTTTTTCAGGCACCTCTAAATTAATGTTTCTACAAACTCGGAACATATGTAGGGCTTATATAACCAATGGTTAAATGGAATTTTACATGCTTTTCTCTATCAGTGATACACAGAAGGTTTCCTGCTAACAAACTAGATTCATCTTTCCTCCTATTACATATCTGAACACTGGAGTGAACTCACTTATCATTCTCCTTTACTTTGTTGGCAGTTTATTATTTTGAGATTATCCTTAAAGCTGATCTAACTATTCTTATGGTCAGCATTATGTATTTGATGCTAAGTGATATTTATCCATCAAGGAACACACATATATTCATTGTGCAGCTACAAAGCCAGGGCTACAGTTGTACATGCTAATCCCTTTAAGGAGTCAACAAACGGAGGGAACCAGACAACACTCAGCACAGCTCCTTCCAAGAGACAACACCATCTTAATTATTAGCTGCTATGCATGGAGCCACATGAGGTTCTAAATCGATAGAAAGTAGAAATTATTAGGTAGAGGGGATAAAAACAATTGTTGTTCTTTATGTATTGATTGCACCATCTGACTAGTTCTCCATAGCTAGTGCCATAAAGATTAAGCTATATATAATATAGATAAAGAGTATTTTACAGTTTCAAAACAACAGGCTATGAAGTGATGTTCTGTCAGAAGATCTAAGACACATGGCCACTTCCAAAGAGCAGAATTTCCCTCGCCTCTTGGATTCTTAGAGCAGAGAACCAAAAGATGCATGCTATCCCAGGTCTCCAAGATTAAGGATAAGTTATTTCAGAGTCTAGTGAAGCCAATTCTATGAATAGGAGATGGCCCTGTTGTGGTAGCTTGGCAACAGACTTGGCAGATGGGCATGGCAGTAATCTATAGCCAAGGAAATCTCCTTGCTCCAGATTATCTACTGTCAGACTCAGCAGGAATCCAGACATGGAAAGTCAGCTCTGAACTGAGGGCTGGACATTGCGCTTCCTGCCAGCCATGGCCTTTGTGTACCTACAGAGTTCAAGCCTCTCCACAGGGCTCAGCATGTGGAACTCCTCCTGATTTATGACCTTAGCAGACTTGATCCACCCCGGGACAAAGGGTCTCCATACAGTTCTAACACGGCTGTAAACTTCTGCTTATCAGCTCCTCACATATTTACTTGCGACAGAATAAAACACACACCGGCAAAGCCTCAGCTAAAACAAACCAATGACTAGCCTCATGCCTCATTACATTCTACTTTGGGTTCGGCAAAATTGGTGAACGACCATTGTCTTCTCTAAACACGGGACTGCCATTGGTCCCTATGGCTTTGACAGGAGGGTTTGTTTGGAAACATTCATTATTGACAGTAATGATATAGTGATAATAATAATATAGGCCCCTCTTGGGTAGTTTTGAGGGCCCCAGGATGATGAGGCAAAGGAAAAACATCAATCAAAGGAGATCTGGATGGTGGTTCCACTATCTTTTCCTATCTGTTTTTTCACAGGACCGAGGAAACTAAAGATACACAGTAACTCCCAATTGCCAGGCTGACGGCTCTGATAGCTCAGGATCTGCAAATAACAAGCGTTTGAAAACCAGTAGAATGAATAAAACAGACCTGGGTTTGAATTCTAACCCCAAACTTACAGTGCCTAGTTTAATAGATTGCCAACCCATCTAAGATTTGGCTCTGATACAATGGAAATCACAGGATCACTGAGAGTTCAGTAAGAGCAAACACAACTTCTGGCACCATAAAGGCCCTCTATGGACACCATCCTCTCTTCCCTTTCCCTTCTCTCTATAACTACACTTATCAGGTGACAAGGCCATTCTCTAGATGAGATGTCTACTGGGTCTCAAGGTTTTCAGATTTTTGCTGATTAAAGTATCCAACCGTGCTGAAATGATTTATGTAAATGCCAGCTGAGGATGAACGCCACAACAGATGAGTCACTTCAAAGCACTGAATGGGCTGATCTTTCCTGAGAACCAGGTCTCCTCACGAATGGTGGGAGAGACCACCTAGGTCTCAGGAGTTCCTGAAGTAGCATCCTCAGAGCACCGACTCTTTTATAGAGAGGGTCACAGACTCCCTAAATAATCTTACCCAGGGGTCAAGGGTTTGAATCTTTAAATATGACAGATCTGTGGTTGAATTCTGATTGCCACCCAGTAGCCAAGGAACTTCTTAAAGTCCTTGTGAGGACTGCCTGAAGCACCTGGGCCAGTGCCGTCATGGAGGAAGTACTCAAGTCCCTCACTCTCTCTGCTGGCCAGAGTTCACCTCTCAGATGTTGGTTGACACCTGGCAACCTCTTCTGGGAATTTGGTAGCACAAGTGCCAAAGGAAGGCTTCCTTCTTAAAGCCTTACATTGGGGTAGCATATTACAATGCCAAATCTCTTCCCTGACTCTGATTTCATGTGATTGTCATAACCCCAAAAGGCAGCAGGCCAGGCATCTCCCCTAGCTGGCATTTGATCTATATCAGGGATTGGCAAACCAACGTCCGCTGAGATAGACGAAGTGTGTAAGGATTGCACAAGGGTTAACCAACTTAGGGTGAGCAGCCAATAGGAAGCAGAATCTAGGGTAAAGCCAGGACTAAACTAAGGCTCTGGCTCTTGGCACAGTGCCCTCTCAGACTGTTCTGAAAGCATCCTGAGATCACAACATGCTTGTCTGAGCTCTCAGACTGACACAAATTAGTGGCTTTACATAGCAATCAACCAACCGACATGAAAAATGTAGTGTATAATAACGTAATGACTCCCGAAGCTCGCCTTCCAGCAGTCAGAACACAAGCAGACAGACTGCTGCCTGTATATTTACCACATTTCACTTTCACAGGAGCGCCTGCGTCCCACCCCTTCCCATGTATCCAACCCCAATATACATGCTGATCATTATTTAGCGACGCCTGTCTTCAACCTGAAAGAAACTATAATTATTGTTCAGTCATATGAAACCTTATATCATAACTAAATAAACAGCTGCTTGATCATGGTGCTAATGAAGAGCTTGAATATACTTTATTTAAAGATTGTTTAACTTCATACCATTACTCCCAACTTTCTGCCAAAATAGTTTATCTCAATAAATGTGGCTAAAAAGAAAAACAGAAATGTCACCTATCAAAATATAAATATCAGTTAGAGTAATCTGAATATTCATCATGGTATGTGAAGACGCTTTCTATATCCAGGACTTCAGAGATTAAGAAAATACCACCTCATAGATGGGTTAATATTTACTAACACCTAACAGATGTGTGGTCCTCTCTTGATACATTTTAGCTTCATCATTTCAGTGAGAGAGCCTCACATTTCTTTTATCCTGGAAGAATCTCTATATTCTTCATGTTCTTGGAGAGGCAGGCCCGTCTCTGTGATAATATATGTGTAATTAGCTCCTTTATGTTGCCAGTATATCGTGAAGACATTCTGATTTACATTATACATAAGCTCACTATTAGTTCCCTGAGATAGGTGGAACCTATTCTGATAGAGCTAGTAAAAGTGGCACAAAATGTGCATAAATCCTGACTAACGACTCAAGTTAAATATACCTCAAAGAGTGTTCTATCTTATTAAAATTCGCATACATTTTTCTTACAAGGGAGTTATTATTCTGCACTGTAGCATGTGTTTTATTATAAACGCAGAGTTCATTGATGAATAGTGATGGCGCTGCAAATCAAGTCAACAGCTTAATTGGCTCAGCAGGGTTCAAGGATGCTTTTCTTGCTGGCTAAGCATATGCTCCCATAGCCGGGAGCCTGGAACATGGTTCCTGGGCTCCTGGCAGTCTCAGTGTGGAGAGGGACCCTTACCTCAGACCCTCGCCCTCAGGAGAGTGTTGTCTGCAATACTCCAGAGTGTAGGTCTCTGTGGCCTCGGGGTTAGCAGGCCGCCATCTGACAGTGGCCGTATTCCAGCACACAGTGCAGTCTTCTGCATGAATCACGGGTGTGGAAGGTGCTGCAGAGAGAAACAGTATACCCTCTGATCATGATTTATCAGTGGTGGTGGAGCAATACCAACTCTGGGGGGAATACTTAGGTATGGTTTTGTTTTTAATTTTTGCATCCAAAAAATTATCCTGAGCTAAAAACTCAAAAGAGATAAAAAATAAATAAATAAACAAAAAAAAAACACTTACATAGCTAAAAGTCTCTCTCCCACCTCTGCATTACATATTGTCAGACTCTATCCCATTCCCAAACAGTCCCTAACAGTTGTTTTCTATAAAGCCTACCCTGTTTTCTTTATATAGCTACTACATAAACAAATACAAATGCTCTTTCTCTCCTCCTTTTACCCAAGAGGTAGACACGATCTTGTCCTCAGCAGGTGGTCAGTACGGTTTGTGTGGGAGGACTGTTCAATTCTGGGTTTTAGGTTATTGAGACAGGGTCTCATGTAGCCCAGGTTGGCCTGGAACTTGCTATGTATCTTGAAGTCCTGTCTCCACCTACCAAATGCTGGGAGTACATGTAAGAGCCACCATACTGAGCCAAATATTTGTTTTTTTAAAGGCAAGAAAAAAGGATATAGGACTAACAGGTGGGAATAAGCTAATTCCTCCCTGAGACAGCTATAATGATCTCAAAGGCAGGACAGCCTTGGTCAACACTACATATTGTGTTGCAGTTCCTTGTGAAAAGATTTCACCATGAGAAAATAGTCACAGTTGAACACCATGGCTTAAACCATTCTGTTTCCCTGCATCTGTATAACAAAGCCCAGTCCTATTATTAGCTTGCAATTATAAGCTCTATAAGCTAACCCTTTTCAAAGTGATGTCTTTCCTTGTTTTCAAGCTTACGGAATAACAGAGACCTTATCGTGCCCCACACCCCGATGTATACTTCACGTCTGCTCATTGTTTCTTCAAGAGGAACCTGCTCCAGTTAACACATTATGTCTCACTGATCATTTAAAGCATTCTGTGGGTATCACCAGGAGAGCCATTCCTGATCCTGCCCTTACCCTGTCTTGGTACTTTCTTGAGTGCTCTCACGATGATCTAGACCCTTACCAAACATTCCCAATGATCTGCTTTCTTTTTTTAACTGCTCAGCTTAACTCTGACCATCTTGCAAACAGGAGCTCAATCATGTTGCTGTTGTTATTAGACTTGAGGGATGATGCTGGGGCTTCATGCTGCTGGATCCACGCTGTACCACTGAGCTCCATCCTAGGCCCCACCTTGGTCTTATTTTATACCCATCATTTTGCCCATCATCTAATACATAGCTAGTGCTTCCTAAATATTTATTGGTTGATCTCAAAAGTCTGTGAAGAATTGAGTATTACCTCATAATAATGTCTTAGCATCTGCTTACCTGTTCTAAAAATTGCTCTTTCACTGGGCAGGCTACATCCAGTGAAGTTGATGGCCATCACCCACACTTGATAGCATCGGTCAGGTTCTAAGTCTTCAAAAATGCAGCAACTTTCTTTCACAGTCAGTCTGTATTCTTCTACCAATTCTAGCACAAGACACAACTATGAGTTCAAAGGTGACTTCTAAAGGAAACTAAAAACTAGTTATTGGAAAAAGTAGTTTGATTTTTGCAGAGGACTCAAACTGATAACTTTACAAACTTTACATTATTCTGTGATAATTATCTCTTTAGGATATATAAAAAGCAATAGCAGTCTAAAAACTGATACTTAGAATGACATAGTATTACTAGTGAACATTTATCACAAAATAATAGCATGTTAGTACATGTCTGAGATTCATAATCCACAATTAAATTAACTTATTTAAAAGCAAATATAAAACTTGCATAGAGTTTATGTCACTTTAAATCTCAGTAATATAGTCTCAAGAAAAGCCTCAAGAACCAATGCCAATATTCCACAGGAGTCCGTCATGGAAAGGACAGCTCTGTGCTTTTATTTAAGATTCCATAGAGCATCTTTCCAGACTAGTAAACAAGTTTGCTACTCAATATGACTTTCCAGGTTTCAGATCCTGACAGTTTTTCCAGAACTTCAGTGACCTAACTAGGGCGACAAGAAAAACAAAATGACTGACATATGGCCACACCTGTAGAAAAGCTGGGATTTGGTGGAGATGCACCACCATGAGTATCAACTGGAAACTTAGCATGTTTATTCTGCACAGCTGAACATGGAGGCGGGGTTATAGCATAGAACAGAACATGGAGGCGGGGTTACAGCATACAGCTGAACGTGGAGGCAGGGTTACAGCATACAGCTGAACATGGAGGCGGGGTTACAGCATACAGCTGAACATGGAGGCGGGGTTACAGCATACAGCTGAGCATGGAGGCGGGGTTATAGCATAGAGCTGAGCATGGAGGCAGGGTTATAGCACACTGATGAACATGGAGGCGAGGTTACAGCACACAGCTGAACAAGGAGGCAGAGTTATAGCATACAGCTGAGCATAGAGGCGGGGTTATAGCACACAGCTGAGCATGGAGGCGTAGTTATAGCATACAGCTGAACATGGAGGCGGGTTTATAGCATAGAGCTGAATATGGAGGTGGGGTTATAGCATACAGCTGAACATGGAGGTAGGTTTAGCGAATCTTGGTAGGTCTTTATAGGGGAGCAGTCTCAGGCTGTAAACATTGGAAGGAGAAGGCTAGGATTGAGAATTTGTATGTACACTGGTCAATCATTCCTAAACACTCATACTTGGATCAGAGGAAGGCTTTGCCGCCCTTCTGAGCCTGGTCTGGGGACGGCTTTGCCATTCCCATAGGTCTGAGGCATTGGGGTCCTTGGTATGGTTGTGCTTACGTCAAGAACACACACTCACTCAGGACTTTATTCTTTCCTTATATATTCACCCAGGTCTTCTTCTACACCCCACATTTCAGAATCCTTTTAACCATATATCTCTACTTATAAGGGGAAATATTTAAATTTGATAGGATAATGAGCTATTATGAGATGTTGAAGTTGGTTCAATCAAGACTTTTTTTCAATTTAAAGTTTCTTAAATGGTTTTACTTTAAATATTTTATAGCAAGTATTATTAAATACTATTATGAATGCCTACCCATTTGGCTTTTTATTTGTTTGGGGTTCGGGGCTTTTTCATGCAGGGGTCTCTCCTGGAGCCTAGACTGGCATGGAATACTTCATTCTCCTGCCTCCACCTCTGGAGCCTAGAGTTACAGGTACAAGCTACCTACCACATCTAGTGACACCTTACACTTTAGACCAATTTGATTATTTTTACGGAAATGCTCTCTTCCTTTAAAGAATCGTTTTCTCCCTGAAGTTAGCATATGATAACGTTATCAGTTACATATAACAATACAGTTATCCTCCTGCATTGCCCCAGAATGTCACCATCTCAAAATACCTCTAGTTAACAACCCGGATTGTCCCCCAAAAGAAACTTAAGACTCTGGCTGCCTCTTTTCCAAGCTCCAGGTCATCCTCACCTACAGCCAACTCTAGGACAGTCTGGGATATGTGAAACCCTGTCTTTAAGAAAAAATAATTAACTTTTAAAAGTGATTTTGAGCCGGGCAGTGGTGGCTCACGCCTTTAATCCCAGCACTCGGGAGGCAGAGGCAGGTGGATCTCTGTGAGTTCGAGGCCAGCCTGGTCTACAGAGCGAGATCCAGGACAGGCACCAAAACTCTATGAGAAACCTTGTCTCAAACAAACAAACAAAAAAGTGATTTTGAAGTCTCCACCAGAGTGAAATAGTCTACACTCATTATACTCATTATAAACTCCTGAGTTTGTCATGGGATGTTGATGCTGCCACATGCTCATCTAATTTCCCAAGCATGTGGGTCTGTCTTCAACAGTCGACACAGAATGCCAGCATTGCCCGCACTGATTCGTCAGGAAGTGCGGCCTCAAACTGCCTGGCTCTTCGGTCTCATCAGAAGTTCTGGGCAGAGAGGTCTTCACAAAAGCTCCGTTTGTAAGGCCCGCCCTCTGCTTCCCACACCAAGGGATGTCACGTCTATCTACTCATCAGAAGTTCTGGGCAGAGAGGTCGTCACAAAAGCTCCGTTTGTAAGGTCTGCCCTCTGCTTCCCACACCAAGTGATGTCACGTCTATCTACTCATCAGAAGTTCTGGGCAGAGAGGTCTTCACAAAAGCTCCGTTTGTAAGGCCTGCCCTCTGCTTCCCACACCAAGCGATGTCACGTCTATCTACTCACGACTTTGGGCCTCTGGATGACTGAACCATACCTAGATGCATGCCTTGAGGACTGTGAACACGAATTAACCCTACAGGCTTCTTCGAACTGCAAACCTGACATCTAGTGCTGTGTTTGCGTTAAACTTATTGTGGAGGACACTGGCCTGTGTGTGGACAGCTCATTTCCCCTCTACGGAGCAGGACACATCATGCTACCTGTCAGACTTCAGCACTGGTTAAACCTCCATTCTCTCTGAAACTTTGGATCCTGTCATTTTGAGAGCTCAAAGTCTGACCTGAATCTGAATCTTAACTATAATGTTCATATTACCATTATGATGATATTAATATGCTTCTCCTTGATATCATTTTTTAAATTGTTCTTTCTGCTAATATTTTATTATGTGGTTGTTGAGGTATTTTGTTATCATTCTTGTTTTGTAAGTGGCTATAAATGCTTTGTGGAAATACACACATTTCAATATGTATATTGCATAATTATATGCATATCTAATGTGTATTGCTCAAGTACTTCACACTGAGATGCAGAAACCTAGGCCTGCCCCTGTCGATGTGTAGCAATCTTACCATTTACTTCCTGGTCATCTTGGGGCTCTTCCACACAGTACACCTGGAATGAGTCCACAACGTCCTCCTTGTTCATGCTCCAGTACACCGCAATCGTTGTGCCGGTGGCAGAATTGGGTTCCTGGGGTTCTAGTCTGGGAGGCTGTGGAACTGGAATAGAAGCCCTATGATTAATGTCATTTTATTGATCAATTGTTTTGTTCAAAATATGTTTAACACATTGTTTTGTTTTGTTTTGTTTTGTTTTAAGCTGAGGACCGAACCCAGGGCCTTGCACTTGCTAGGCAAGCGCTCTACCACTGAGCTAAATCCCCAACCCTGTTTAACACATTGTTAAAAGTCCAACAATATAGAAATCTATGTGATAAAAGTAGAGGAGTCCCTGTTTCCAACATACAGCCCTCATTCCTCGGATACAATCACTGTTAGGACTGAGCATGTGGCCCTCCAGAATGCTTCCCAGGCTTTCCTGTAAGCACACAAGCCACACAATAGAAGTTAACAAACGTGAGCCCCTAACTACATAACACTATTCTGTAGTCTTATACTTAGTGAAATAAACTACAGTGACTAATGGATTATCCAATAACTCAGTTTTACTTCTTAAAATCCCCCCTAAATATGCCCTTTTTTAAAGATAAGAAATGCTATACTGTTCTATATTGACACAGTTTATAACAATAAAAAGCAGTGAGTCCTTTTCAGACATTGCTATAGTATCTTTGAGGTGAAGGGGAACTTGCCTTAAATTTTAGACTAGAATTTTTAAAGCTACAATCCATCTTCTCTTTCTAACATGGTATCTCTACCTATTCTTAAAATTAAAATTTAAAAATTGACAGGGGGCAGTAGTAATCTCTTGATGGAATTACACATAAATTTTTAAATGCCTAATGTAATTACATGGCTCTGAATTTTAAAGACAACAATATTCTCTAGTGTTTTACTGGAGATTTTTGAAACTTATAATTATGTGTATTGAACATTAATGCCGTATAAACCAATCTCTGTGCAATTATCTTTCTGAGCTTATTACACATGATCATTGAACATATTTTATACATCAAAGAAAAAGGTTATTCTCATAGTTGAAAAGATGCCATACTTTTAAAATTTGTGCATGTGTCTTTCTGGCCAACAATTTCCTAAGAGATGAGGTTATTGGAATAATGTAGGCCAAATTCATAAGTTGACACTCAGGAAAAAGGAAACAAAGGTTAGTTCAGCAATAAGGTCAAAATGCGAAACAAAATAAATGGATTTGAAGAACAGAATAAAAAGACAAATTGGAATGATTCAATAAAGATAAAGAGGTAGAGAAATAATGCAATTATAAAAAATATGAGGAGCGGACTAGGAGAATGGTCAAGTTCATGGGCTTCAGAACAAAGGCTGGCTTCAGGCTAAATGCAAGACCCCTAGCTATCTGCATTATATTAGCCTCAGTTTCTCCACTTTTTAAAAAACGAATGTCTAATACCATTACATCCTAAGGTTGTTGCATGAAGCAAGACAATGTATATCAAGTGTTTAATAAATGTGCCTGTTGGGAGGCAGCATCCAGACAGCAAGACAACCTTGGCAGGAACTCAGAAAATGGAGAAGGGAGCAGGGAACTCATGACTGTGAAGGTTGAACTGAAGTCCCAGGACCTGGTAGGCCATTGGGGCCACAGAGACAGGACACGCTGAGTAGGCTGCATGGGGAGGCAGATATCTGCCTGCCCTGGCCTTTCCCCAAAGACTGATGGCTGTATCTTCCAACAGAGAGTCAGAGCTACATCTGAAGGTACCCATCCAGAGAGAGGTGATCCAGTATGTTTTCATGTTGCCCAGGTTTATGGAAGAGCCAAACAAAACACTTCAACTATTATTAGTTTTCTTTGGAGCAGCGTGGAGAGCTTGGAGCATGAACAATGTGAATGATCTTCTTCCCACTATAAATTATACATGGCTGGAGCTAATCTTGGAAAAATGACAACATCTTTCTACATCCTTTTCTCTCTAGCACAGCTTAGCAAACCTCAAAGCTGATAGTCAACCCTGCCCCATCACCTAATTTCAAGGTAGAGCCATTGTAGAGAATTAAGCAAAGCACATAGGCTAGAAGTAATTTTGTTTCCACATATGACCCTCCACTCAAAGAATTAAAGTTAAAATATCCTTTTCTCCAAACAGGAAATGCATTTTCTCTTGAAAATGCTCCAAAGGGGAAGAAGAATATCCCAGAGACACAATCTAATAATCATGACTACATTTATAATTCATATTTAGCAGAACACTGGAACCCAGATTTTATATGTTAGAAATTCTGTTTAAACTTTTCAGGGGTAAACTTGAATAAGTGTGATGTCAAAAAATACAAAGGGAATCTTGGGGCTTCTTCTCCAGGAGCTCAGGTGCAGGAAGAGGAAGTACCCCTGTAGAGCCCCTCTGACTGACTGAATGTGCCTGTAGAGAGTTTTCACACTCAGGGAGCTAAACATTAATCTGCTTGGATTTCAGTGCCTGAGGCCAAATGTAGATTCCACTCAACCTGACTTTAAAAATTTCCACAGGAGATACAGTCATAGTGCCATCATGCACTCAGAAAGCTGATGCAGAAGGAACATGAGTCTGATGCCAACTTGGGTTATATAGTGAAATACTTTCTCTAAAAAATGAACACAAGTCTCCAGGAAAGCAGCATCAGTCACAATAGCTAAGAGGTGAAACAACCCAAATGTCCATCCATGGATGAATGATGGATAGATGATGGATGGATGGATGGATGGATGGATGATAGATATATGGATAGATAGATGGATGATGGATGGATGGATGGAGTAGATGGATGGATGGATAGATGGGTGGATGGATGGGTGGATAGATGGAGTGGATGGATGGATGGATGATTGATGGATGGATGATGGATGAATGGTTGGATGATTGATGGATGGATATATGGATGGAGTAGATGGATGAATGGATAGATGGGTGGATGGATGGGTGGATGGATGGAGTGGATGGATGATGGATGAATAGATGGATGATGGATGGATGATGGATGGATGGATGGATGATGGATGGATAGATGATGGATGGATAGGTGGATGATGGATGTATGGATAGATGGATGTATGATAGATGGATGGATGGATAGATGGATGGATGGATAAAACCCATGGCATAAGCATATAGTAAGTCTTAAGCACCAAAGTTATGAAAGGTGTTGCAAACATGAGTGAACATAGAGAAAAATATGTTAAGTGGAATAAGCCAGTTACAAAAAGATATAATCTTTTATTCAGGGCACTGCAGTCATCAAACTCAGAGAAAAAGAGTAGCAATTTCTGGGGTCTAGAGGAAGAGGGAGTTGGTGTTTAATGGACACAGAGATTCAGTGTTGCAAGATGAAATTCTGGGGATCTATGGTAGTAATAGTTGTCAAGACTATGAACATACTTCATGCTACGGTTGTATACAACTAAAGATAGTTAAGATGCCAGGTGTGGTGGTACACACCTTTAATCCTAGCTGCAGGTAGGTAGAGATAGGCAGATCTCTGAGTTCTAGGCTAACCTGGTTGAGTGCCAGGCCAGCCAGGGCTTAATAATGAGACCAAAATAAATAATAAAATTAAAAGTAAAATAAAAATGAGTAAAAATATGGTAAATTATTTTTTAAAGATTTATTTTCTTTTTAATTATGGCATACATGTTTCCATATGGGCACATGTATATATGAGAGCTGGTGCCCCTGGAGTTTAAAAGAGAGCCTCAGATTCCCTGAAGCTGGAGTTATATGCAGTGATAAGCTACCTACTATAGAAGCTGAGAACGGAACTCAGGTCCTCTGCAAGAGGAGTGTGAAATCTTTACTGCTGAGCCATCTCTCCGGGCCCTAATATGGCAGATTATACATGTATCTTAATACAATTAAATTTAAAATTTAAAACAAATCTAAGATCCAGAGTCACAGAGACCTAGCTATCACTCCATGGGTGGTTTTCTTCTCTTTCCTTGCCTTGGGGGCAGTGGATAAGATGCAAAGACTCTGAGGCCAGATCCCCCGCACCTCTCACCAGCTGTGTGGTCCTTAGCAACATGATGTTTTGCTGTGCTATCTCCACACCTGTCAATGTGGATAATAACTAACCCTTCCTCCTGGGGTTGATGTGGCAGTCAGGATGGCTCTGTAGGTTTCACTAGGGCCCAGCCTCTATGGGGTCTGAATAAAAGGCAGGTGCCACTGCTTCTCATAGCGGGAGCTGCATTCTGTGGAAGTCAGCAGGAGCCAGATCCTCATGGGCCTTGTCTCTGAGTGATTTCATTGGTCACAGAACAAAATATATTGGCCCTGGGCTGCATACTCCACAAAGCAGACACAGAGCGGCTTGGGTCCTTTGTAGGGGTCTTTCCCACAGTGCTTCACACCTCTAAGCCTATACACACTTCCTGGGGTGATGGCTAACAGTCTCTGACTGTGTCTTTCTGTGGCCTCTAAATTATAAAAGAAGCCCTCCTATTGAGCATCAGGCACTCAGAACTCTATTCCTGTAAACAGGCAGCTGTGTACAGCGAAGCCTTAATATGATGGCTGCTCTATTCATCAGCATCTTAGTTTGTGGCTGCTGCTCTGGCTTAATGCGCCTAAAAGACACATGCAAACCCTCTTCCGTATGGGACAGCTCTGAAGAAAATTCATTAGGGTAGATGACTGAATTGTCTACTTCATTAAAGGTGTTGGGGCTTGAGTATTTTGCAGGGGGTGTTTCTGGGGGGAGGCTGTCTTTTTAAAAGACACACCAGCTTCTGGCTGGTTCCTAAACTAGAACCGTGTCTACAGGAACGCGGGTTTTAAACACAACGGCTGTCTGTGAGGTAAATTTGACAAGGGTACCTCTTGATGAGGACATCTGAGCACCCTGTACAGTAAGCAGAACTCAGTAACCAGGAAAACGGCAGCTTTGAGCGTTTAAATGCTGCATTGCCTTGTTTGCTAAAATAGAACATTAAAAAATAATTTGAAAAGCTGGCAGAATGCTCTGACAGCTGAGTGGGAAGCTCCTGGCTACAGACCATGATGCTGAGCTGTGAGTTCTCCAAGCTAATCTGTTTGGTTTGGGGGGTGGGGGAGAGTAAATAAAGAAGAGGAGGAAGGAACTGAGTTGAAGAGGGGAAAACTACTTATAAGGTAAAATTCGTTCACCGCGTGTGAAAGTAATTTATTCCTTTTTACTTATCTGCTGGGCCGCTAGTGTGAACAATTCTCTTACATGGAGGGAGAGAAGTTCTAGTTTAAAAAAAAAAAAACAGAATAAAAGAAGAGGGGACCTTTCAGTTCCATTCATTTCATGTCTCCTCTTCGGAGCATCACGGAGCTTCCAAGGGAAAAGCACAGCATCACAGAGATGAGCGGCTGGCCCCTGCATCATCTCAGAGTCTCGCTGTAAACCTTACAGCCCACACGCATCTTCACCCAGTGAGAGAAACTTGACAAACAGGCAAGCAGGACCTGCCAAGCTCCATCGAGGTGAATGATATATTAAAACACTCACCAGCCACTTGTTTCAACATCTGGTCACTTCGCGCCGAGCTATCGTCATAGTGCTCAAAAAGCGAGAAGGCGGCCGGCATGTTCTCTAAGGAGGCTGTGCTATCCATGGCGGAAAGCAGCCTGAAAGGGAACAGAACTCCACTAAGTCGGGAAAGCACGAACAACACCAAACCAAAGCAGGTCTTCCTGTTCGGCTCGAAGCTGGTGGGAGCAACTGTGGTTTGTATGAGGCAAGGTCCCCCCACTCCCACCCCCACCCCAGATATCCCAAAGCATCGGGAAATGCACATCTAAAATCCATTTATTCTTGGACTCCTTACACACCTGGTAAGATACCAGAAGTCTCATCCCCAGGCTCTCACATTTGAAAACTTCCAAATCATCTAGCCTTGGATTCATTTCTTATAAATGAGTCCTGAACATTGCTTCACATCCATGATTATTTGATTTCCTAAAGGACAGATCCTGAGCCAGTCTGGAAATTTCCATGCTATAGGGATGGCCCTGGTGTTCTCAACCCTCAACACCAAACTTCCAGTCATACTAAAAATAATACTCACCTACTATGTGCCAGGCTCTGTTCTAGGGCCTGGGAGTCTAGCTGTGAAAGCAAGGCCAAGCTGTCTTGGAAGACAAGCTCTGTTCTAGGGCCTGGGAGTCTAGCTGTGAAAGCAAGGCCAAGCTGTCTTAGAAAGCTCAGCTTCCAAAGGGACGGGTTCTGTCTACCCAAGCCCTTCTCAAGGAGGGTGCCCACGTGCACTAACACTGAGCGTTTGGAACCAGGCCTGGCATAGAAGCATGGATACAGGAAGAACAGAAACGGGTTCGCTCTGAAGGGGAAAGACGGGAGGGGGGTTTACAAAATGACCTGTCCTTAGCCAGAGGGGCCTCAGAGCCGGCCAGGGCTCCTTGTTTGGCACTCTCACAGGCCTGGAATGTTCTTCTAGCAAGGAAGTCAACTTTGAGGAACTGCACGGGCTTCCTTCTCTGGACTCTTGGTTTTCCATGACCAGACCCACCCTGAGGCCTTTGTACTGGCTCTTGGTACTCTCTTCTCCCAAATTCACGGGCACAGTGCCTTCCTTCGCTTAGCTCAGCCCTGTTCAAATGTCAACGCTGTGGAGAGAGGTTGTGAACTGGGCAAGGCCAACCTTACTGCAGCCCGTTTCCTGGTAGTTATCAAGGCCTAGTGTGTTCTTTAACTGCCAACTTCACCAAAATATAATTTTGCAAGGAAGAAAAGACTGTCTTATTCATTATTTCATTCAATGCCTTATTTGATGCATAGTAGGCAATTAGTAAATATATCTTGATTTAATAAGAGGCCCGTGGTTTAATCTGTGTAGAAATCAGGATCTCAGGCATAGTAAATCTGGAATTACAATAAGGGGGAGAGATCATGAAATATTTAGAGTCCCTTCTACACTTGCTATTGTTAAACATGATGAAATTCACTGCTATTTGATTTGGGGGAAAATGCTTCAGTGAGGACTTTGGGGTATTAAAAAAATGAGCAGGAATTTCTGAGGCAACAGGGAGAGTAAAGGTATTGCAGATGGTGAAAATGTCATGGGCACCGGCCAGAGATGCCAAGGAATGTGGCTCAGCAGAGAGCAGAGCACACCATGGAAACAGGGACAGACAGGAAAGGGGACAGTGTTTTGTGACTCGATGAAGGGCCTTTCACACACACTGAAAATTTCTATTTTATCTCTGAAGATAAAGACAGTCACAGGATTGTTTACGTAAGGGAGATGTAGACAACCCTGATTAGCTACAGAGGAAAGATCAGAGCCAGTACACAGGGTAGGCAGTGGAGTGAGTCAGGAGGCCCCCACACTGATCTGGATAGGGGGAGATTAAAAGCCTACATTAAAGCTTTGGGGGTGCGGAATATGGAAATAAACTAGGAATGGTTATTTTTTTTAAAGTGGCGATCAGGGTTGGAGAGGTGGCTTGGCAGTTAAGAGCACTTGTTGCTCTTGCAGAGGACCCAGGTTCAATTCCCAGCACTCACATGGTGGCTCACAACCCAGTTCCAGGGGATTCCAGTGTCTTCTTCTGAGCTTGGGGTTCAGACATGCATGTTATGCACAAACACACATGCAGGCAAAACACCCATACCAAAAAAATAAAAAATAAGAGTAAAAATGTGACCAATATGCACACTTAGCCTTCTCAGTGCATTTCACTGACTAACTCTACAGAGGCTATCTGCAGATACCACAGTACATCTGAGTTTTCTCTTGTACACAGACCTATTCAATTTTAACAGCAAGCTGATATCCTTTTACAAGTCAGTCCTACAATGGTTGAGACTTTCCTGTTCATTATTATAAGCCAGAAGAACAAAGCATAGAGGGACTGCATCCCCTTAACAGAACAGCATTTATAAAAGCAAAAAATGTGTTGTTCAAGATATGCAAATGTTGGGTCTAAATATGCTTGACAGCATTCCTTAATTTAATTTTAGTGCTGAGAAAAATCAATTAATGTAAAAGCACTGTCTTCAGAGATATAATGAAGTCAGGAAAAAAGCAGGAAGAAAACAGCTAAGAGAAAATAAGCTAGACTTAGCACTTCCTGTAGAAAGGAAGGAGAAGTTGTCTTGAGGACAGAAAGGTGTGTGTGTGTGTGTGTGTGTGTGTGTGTGTGTGTGTGTGTGTGTGTGTGTTCCTATTTATAGAGCTTTCTTTAGTTGCTCATATATTCTCACCAAATCCAAGAGTTGTGTTGTCCTTTATTTCACTACATAAAAATATTGGCTACCCCAACACCTACACAACTCATTGACCATGGAGGTGCCAAACTGATGCCTACATAGACTCTCCACCCCTACATTCTAGTGTCTTTGGTACAGGAGTGTACTTTGCATACTACCAAAAGAGAAGCATAAACACCAACCAGTCCAAAAACGCTTAGATCCATCATGGTGTCCAGCCTACAAGGTATGCCAGGGCAATGGTGGCACAAAGCTTGTGGGAGTCACCAACCAATATCTGATTTGACTTAATGTCCACTCCATGAGATGGAACTCATACCCAACACTGCTTGGGTGACCAAGAACCAATGACTAGATAGCCCAGGGACCTAGGATAAAACCAAATAATATTAGTCTAAAAAACAGGAAAAAACAAAACCAAAACTGCAGTGATAAAATGACTCCTAATGGTATTCTGCTGTACCAATATAGATCAATGCCTTGTTCAGCCATCATCAGAGAAGCTTCCTCCTACAGCAGATGGAAACAAAATCCAGAGACCCACAGCCAGACATTATGCAGAGACTGAGAGACCTTGGAACACTCAGCCCTAAATGGAATGTCTCTACCAAACCCTGCCCCCAGAGCTCAGGGAACCCCAAGGAAGAGAAGGCAAGAGTTAAGAGCAGAAGGAATGGAGGACACCAAGCAAACAAGGCCCTCTGAATCAGCATATAAGCAAAAACTCATACGAACTCACAGAGACTGAGGCAGCATGCACAGGGCCTGCATGGGTCTGCACCAGGTCCTCTGGGCATGTTTCATGACTTCCAGTCTAGTGTGTTTGCAGGTTCCCTGACTGTGCGAACGAGTGGGTCTCTGACTCTCGTGCCTTCTCGTGGGCTCGTTTCCTTCTGTTGTTGGCTTGCCCTGCCCAACTTCGATGTGACAGCTTCTGTTTTATCTTATTATACTTTACTTTGTTATTTTTTTAAATGAACGAATGAAAGAATGAATGAAAACCTAGCCACTAGGGTGAAGGTTAACATCTGAACTGTCACTTAGACCTTCTGGGAGAGGGAAAATCAGTTTTTCCCTGGGTATATCAACCACTCCAGGACAGGCCTCATGTTGAAGAGTAGTTGACCAACATATAATGGACTCCACTGTTCTTTTGTGTGTGCTTTTATTTGGTTGCAGTTTGGTGTTTATGTTTGACTGTTGTTGTTTCTGTTTGGGTGCTGTTTTATTTTGTTTTCTTGTTTTGGGGGGTGGTTGTATTGGATTTTTGTTTGTTTGGGTTTTTTTTTTTTGAGAAGGAACTTAAAATTAGGTGGGTAGGGCAGGGATGGGGAGAGGATCTGGAACGACTTGAGGGAGAGCAAGAATATGATTGACATTATATTTAAATTTAATTTAAAAGTTATTTTAAATAATAAAAAATATAATAAAAGAAAAAATATTGGTTATCCCAAGTGTATTCCCCTGTGATATGCAGCAGTAGTAAAGATGAATTCATTGTCAATTGGGAGTGAAAAAGAAATTAATTAAAATGACATGTAAATTACCAAGTTAAAGAATAAAACCAAAGGAATGGTGTTTAGAATGCAATGGCCATCTATTCATATTAGCAGTAATCAAGTATTTAGAAAAGTAAAACCATCCTTCAGCATCTTTAAAGTAAAAGCATTTATAAATTTTCATCCACCAAATTTTCTTCCTGATCATTATCTTACACATGTAGATGGGATAAAAATAATTAAATATGCATCTCTATTGTCCAGTGTATATGAAATGGCACTATAAATCCACATATTTTTAAACTTAAAAACCAATAATTACATTACTGATCTTTAAGTTAAAAAAAAAATGTGGATCACTGCTTGGGTATGAGTTTCTAAAACTCATCCATGGGAGCTGGTAAGGGGCCTCACACTAGCCTACAAATCCTCAAGGGGTGGGGGTGGGCTCCAGGGTCTGGGACATACGTGTCATCCAGAGGATTCAAGCAATGTCAGGCCCCTCCGCTGGGCCTGAGGACAGACTGAGACTTTCACCCAGAGGTTCTCAAGCCTGCCTGTCCATCACAATCACCCAGGAAGCTTTGAAAATGCCCAGACCACACTTCAAACCAACGAAGCCCCAATGTGAGGGCATATGAATCAGACAGCACCAGCAGGTTTGGTTTGGTTTTGTTTTGTTATTTTTGTTCTTGTTTTTCAAGTCAGGGTTTCTCTGTGTAACTCTAGCTGTCCTGGAACTCACTTTGTAGACTCAGCCAGCCTTGAACTCAGAGATCTGCCTGCTTCTACCTCTGGATCGCTGGGATTAAAGGCATGCTCTATCACCACCGGTTTTAACGCTCCTCAAGTAACTATTCACAGTACAGCCACTGTTATAAAACACTGGCCAACTAGTACCAACACTAATGCATAAATAGGTCTTATAAAGTATATTGGTACTATATTATAAGCAAATAAGAGTCATTCCTGTGGCTTCAGGTATCTGAAAAAGGTCAAGTTTTCTATTCAAACTCCTTTTAATATACATCCCAGATAAACATTTCTGATTTCAGTCTCAGCTATTTACTCTCTGCCATTAAACTTCAGTAGAAATAAGCCCAAGATAATATTTATAACTTAGAAAAGGACATTTAAGATGCCACTAACATGATAAGACCTTGGGCTCAACTAGCAGGAAAGATCTCAAGTTCTTGCTGTGAGGCAAAAGGAAAAGGGGTGAGATCAGTGTTTGGATGGCAGCAGTAGATGACCTGGAAGACAGAAATCTGATGTCTGTGTCTTCATGGACAACGCTTTCCAATCATGTTGATGTTTTGCCTCTCAGAAGAATGAAAAAAAATCTCTTAGACTGAGTGTTAAAAGCATATTCAAAACAAAACCCGATCAATAGCGTAAGATTCATTCGATTAGCTGAGCCGAAAGAGAAGGTTAAGTGCAGAACTACCTTCTGAAAAGAAAATGAGTGAACATGCCGTCAGGGCAACATAGGTCCTAAAATTGTCCACAGCAGCAAAGAATGATTGCTTCAAATGCTCATATTTAACCAATAAGTCTAATCATTTATAACACTTTTTTTTTTTTAATTCCATAGCAGGAAAGATAGTTGAGATTAGCTTGAAAACACAGGCTACATCTCAGGAAAGCAGTTAAAAATCTACACTACGATAATTGTTATTTAACCAAAGCACATGCAATTTTCTTCTGAAGCTGTCATTTAACATTTAAAAGCACTACATCTAATTGTGAAAACCCAGCAGCTCCCTTGATGTGTTTTTAATTGGCAGCTCAGCCTCCCCACCCCCAAGCATCCCACCATGCTCTCCTCAGCCTTGCTATGTTGCACCATGTCGCGTATACCTTTCATTGATTTCCTCAAATGACTTGGGTTGGGAGAGGAGGAAAGAGAGAGAGAGAGAGAGAGAGAGAGAGAGAGAGAGAGAGAGAGAGACTAATTAACAACAGAAAGTAAAAGCAACCAGGAGCATTAAGATCAAGCATGCTAAACAATCTTTACCCCTAAGCATCCCTGAGGCCATTTGTCTTTGGGACTTCAGGTTGAATAGCAGGGAAAGTGGTACTCAGAGCAGGTGAGGGTTGTGTGGAGGAGGAAGGGGCCTTCATTTGCAGTTTGCCTTGCTCTCTTTGATGGGCAAGGCAGACAGTGAGCTGTTGTAGTCTAAACAAATAGTTTAGAATTCTGTGAAGCAAGGGAAAAAATAAAATATTTGTTCCATGTAGGCTTTACATATCATGGGATCAGCAGTTATCTTTGAGGGATATCCTCTCTCTATTTCCAATGTTCTCCAACTTTTCTAGAACGGATAAATATCACCACCAAACGCAGAAACAAATGTTTCCCCCTTCCTAATCTGTTCTCCTAGACAGAAAGAAATATTCTCATCAAACAAAGGTTATTTGTGAAGCACAGAGTGCCTTATTGATGTTATACTTCATAAGAGGGTCCTAAGTTAAAAATATTAAAGCTTTGCTTTAATTAAACATAAAGCCACGTGACGGTTTTAAATTCTCCTTTGAGGATGGCCATATTCACTTGATCTAAATTTTCCCTGGCTAGAGGTGTCTCCAGAGGTCAATCATGAACTTTCATAATGCCTATTTTTGCCTCAATCTATCTTCCAACTTCACTGGGAGTTCTAGGAAGATAGGGAACTTTGAAGTGGGAGGGGAATTCACTCTCAGTACAGACAGAGGTTTCCTATTTGACAATTAGGCTTGTATCTGTCCTCTGGGAAAACATCTGTATTACTCCTAGTTAATCATGAGTGTATGGAGAACCAGCATCTTCTGGATCATTCTAGGGATTTATGAGGAGCAAACTAAGGTTCATCCAAGGGAGAATTGCTCTCCACAAGTCCCTTGTTTGAATTAAGGAATCATATCATGAGAAAGCTGCTTCTAACAATATCCCTGGCCCTATTTGAGGAAGGTGCCCCAATTAAATCTCCCTTATACATCAAAAAGGGAACCAAAATGTTACTGTCAGCTACTTGGTAAGGGCAGAGGGAATGGTTCATATGAGAGGTCACCTCAGATGAAAAAGTTCATAGGACAGACACAGGGATCAGCATGAGGATGCTAGGCAAAAGGAGACTGGGCTGACCCTCAGAGGAACAGCATGGCATAAATAAGGCTGTGAGGGGGCTCTCCAGTCTCAGAAAGTGATCAATCAACCTTCTGTAACATGATGATAGGATAGCCTCCTTCCATGGATCTCTCACAGAGATCTGCCTGCCTCTGCCTCCTGAGGTGCTGGGATTAAAGTGTGCACCATCACCACCCACTGCTCTGTTTGTTGTTTGAAACAGAGTCTTTAGGTATAGAACAAACAGGACTTGTACCTCTGATACAAGTGCTGTGTTACAGGGTAGTGCCTCTGTACCCAGTTTATAAACAAATTTAGGAATAGTTTTGAAAGTGGACGTGTGCCAACATGGGCACCAGGCATCGGGCCTGCTTCCTGTGGTACTCACAGCCAGGAACACGGTCTCGTCCAGCTCCTCAGCTTCTCTCACTATGGTCTCCAAGGTGTCCTTGGCTGTGTCCATGCTCTGCAGAAAGTGGACCATCTGGTCGTGCAGGAACTCCATCTTCTTCTTCTTCACTTCCTCGAAGCTCTGGGCTTTCTCATCGTACTGCGCCAAAACCTTCCTCATCATCTCCTCATTCTGCTCTTCCAGCCGCTTCTCATTTTTGCTGCAGTTCTCCTAGAGGGGCGGGGCCAGAGCGCTTCTTAATGAACAGAGACGTGACGCCTTTGTTTGCCCCTCATCTTTTTTGCCTTTGAAAGAACTGGCCTGTGTGCAGTTGGTTGTTTTTACTCTTTACTCTTTGGGGGCCTGCCACCCAGCTCCCAAAGAGTCACATGGAGTCTAATTCTTTCTTATGAATGCTTGGCTTATTTCTAGGCAGCTTTTCCTAGCTTAAATTATCCTGTTTACCTTTTGCCTCTTGCCTTTTATCTTTCTCTATTCTATATACCTTTCTTTACTTCTTACTCCATGGCTGGCTGTGTGGCAGGGTGGCTGACCCTTGGAGTTCTGTCTCCTTCTCCTTTTCTTGCTCCTCCATTTTACATTCTTCTTCTTCTGTTTATTCTCTCTGCCTGCCAGCCCCACCTATCCTTTCTCCTGCCTTGCTATTGGCCATTCAGCTCTTAATTAGACCAATCCAGTGTTTTAGGCAGACACAATAACACAGCTTCACAGAGTTAAATGCAACACACAAGAATGCAACATATCTTTGCATCATTAAACAAATGTTTCACAGCACAAACACATCTTCAACTAATATTCCACAACACCTCTGACATTCCAGCCAAAGAGTCAAAATTCAGAACATGGTCTAAACTTCTAGCTTATATATCTGCTTTGCTTTAGTTAGCTTTGCAATGGAATTCACTATATGAGTACCATCAAGAAAGAAAAGAAATATCAAAATTTAAAAAGAAAGAAAGGAAAATCACATCTGGGGAGGATCCTGGCCTGTGTGGTTTTCACCTCTCTGTGCCAGTATTCTCCTGGGAGGGGCAGTTTTACCACAGTGGAAGGAACTTTACTGTCCATTTGGACACAACTGCCAATTAGCTATCCTCACTAGACTGACTGGGGAACAGGACAATAAAGCAGCTGTTCACTGATCTACAATGCACCAATGGGATTGGTTAGTCAGTTTCTGCAGTGACCTGGAGGCCTCTTCACTTCTGATTGACAGCCACAGGTATCTGGGCCACCTCTGGGTAAGGACAGAACATTCCTACCCACTCTCTTCACAGTGGAGGAGCAGAAACTAAATTCCAGAAGTGTGCACATTCAGTGGTGCCCTGAGACACCATGGGCCCAAAGAGAAGACTCAAGTCAGTGGCCAGAACACTTCTGGAGGCCAAGCAGTGAGAGGCAGGAAAGCAGAGCAGAAGAATCAGTCTCAGTCTCTCACCCATGAAATGGAAGCAGTAACACCTCTTAGTAACTGTCTGAGGCTTCACTCTCAGAGAGCATCTGCCTTAGCGTGCCAGGGCCCTAAGAAGTGAGCGTCTTTAGGGGAAAAGCCTTCATCCTTAAACAGAAAGTGACCTCAGTGCTCACAGTGAGGGGAGACCATAAGAACCCTCACTTTGAATTAAGATAACCAACAATGTAAACCAAACACACACACACACACACACTATACATCACACACATAGAAATACACTATATACTACGCAACACACACTCTACACCACACACACATACATACACACTATACATATTATACCACACACACACAAACACTATATGCCACGCACACATACATGTAGTTAGTCTTTCTTGTTGGACATTATTTGGGCCACCAGCCCCCAAATAATAACACAGAGACTTATTATTAATTATGAAAGCTTGGCCTTAGCTTAGGCTTGTCCCACTAACTCTTATAACTTAAATCAACCCACGTCTATTAATCTACGTTCTGCCACATGGCTCTTTACCTCTGCCCATGCTGCACATTCATGCTCCATGTCTCACTGGCTAATTACCCCATGCCTAAATTCATCCCCTGAGTTCCTCTCTCTGCCTAGAAATCCCACCTAACCTCTCCTGTCTAGCTGTTGGCTGTTGAGCCAATTAAACTAATCACAATGACACATCTTCATACAGTGTAAACAAATATCCTGCAACACATACACACACACACACACACATACACACTACATACTATACCCGCACACATACACTATACACCACATATACCACATATCACATACATGCACACACACTATACACCACACACTACATATTACACCACACACACACACACACACACACACACACACACACACACACGCTACACATATACTACACACTACATACACATTATAATACACATACCAAATCAGTTCCAAATAGTCTACTGTCGATACAATGAATAGGGCAGGACAGAGGAGAAAGAAGTATGCTAACTTACCTCGATGGTATTAAAAAAGGATTCAATCTCACTAACAAAAGCTTCAATCCTCAAGGATTTTTCTTGTAGGTTTTCAAGAAATTCCCCTAATTGAACCTGAAGGGAAGAATTAAAGTGTCTTTACTGTAGAACATCAGAGGGACACATTTCAATCAGCGGTTTCTGGTTTCCTTAATATATTTGTAGAGTTTTACTATACCATACTCACCAACAAATCAAATTTTAGGTATTTTCACTGCTTCTCCTAAATGGATTGGACACAGTTATGTCTGAGAAACAGTCGAGTTCTGTGGGGCTGGAGAAGTAGCTCAGTTGGCAAATACCTGCTTTGCAAGCCCAAGGACAGGAGTTTGAGCCCCAGAACCAACATAAAACCAACTGAGCATGGCGGTGCCTGCTTGTAATCCAGAAATGGGGAGATAGAGACAGGCAGGTGCCTGGCCAGCCTAGCCTATTAATGAGTTCCAGGAAAGTGAGAGACCCTGTTAAAGTTAAAAAAAAAAAAGTGGATAGTGCCTGAAGAAAATACTTGAGGTTTTTCTCTGACCTCTACGTGAATGTGAGCACACGTATGCATGGGTATTCTTGTTTAATAAACTCTGGATTTGAATGATTACCTTCATAGTGCCTGGCATTTTATAGTCTGAAGTAGAACTCTACGGTGTTGATTATCAGTTTGATAAGCTCTAGAATTGCCTGTAGATAGACTGTAGATACAATGTGACCCACTGCTTCTAGCCCCTGCTACCGTGACTTCTCCATGGTAGACTGTACCCTTGAATTTGAAACCAAAATAGCACCCCTTCCTTCCTTCCTTAAGTCACTTCTATCAGGCATTTTTACAGCACCAAGAAAAGCAAGGAACACACAGCCTTCTAGCTAAAGTGGCCTGCCATGCCTCAGTGGTTTCTTGACATAACCATACACAACCTCAGTGTGCCTGGCAGAGCTGAGAGGGTGAGCAGGGTACTCCCAGCTCGGCACTCGGCACACCAAAAAAGGGTTAAAAGGTTTGCAGTAAGCGGCAACCAAGTAGAAAATTTATGGAGTGGTGGTTGAGGGCGGTCCCTACTTCAGCCATCGTTCTAAGCCTAGCGGCACTCTGGCCTGATAAACATAAAAAACAAAACTGAAGAACAGAGCTTCAGCGGTCCACAGAATGACGATGATATCACATGACAAAGCCTCTTCAAGAGGCCGCTAATTCCCTGTAGGTCTCAATCCCTAACGCCCCGCCCCCTACCCCCTAGGCTCCTGTGACACAAGCTGCATCTTTGTGTAGCTTCTCCTCACATATGTTTTCCCTACAGTGTCCATTTCTAGAACGTCCTCTCTGCCATTGACTAACACGATCTGTACCTCATCAAGGCTCAGCCAAGCTTTAGCTTTTAGACACCTTCCCTGGCCCTCCCTCTTCCACCCAACTACTGACCGCCCCAAAGCTTAGTCTCTCAGCATCCTGTACTCCCGAAAGCCAGTACTGAGCTGAGAAACTGCTAAGTCCATCTCTTCATTGTCTTTCCTTTCCTTCTCACTCCCAATGACTGGCATCCTTCCTGACATAGAACAGGGGATCAATAAAACCCATGACAAGGGAAAGAAGTGAATCAAGGATGTGGATAAATAAATAAAGACAATCACCATGATGGGGGATGGGCAAAGCAGGAAGAGCTGGGGCTTCAGGAAACTGCAGCCAGCAGTCTCAAAGGGGCAAGCAAGTCCATCTACCAGTTAGAGCTTTTGTGAGATCCCTGTTTCTTAAATTTTTTAAGAGTTCCTTGCTTATGCATATGAATGTTTTGCCTCCATGTATGTATGTGCACACATGTCTGCCTGATCAGAAGAGGGTATTGTGTTCCCTGGAACTGGAGTTATGGATGGCTGTGAGCCACCATGTGGGTGCAGGAAACTGAACACAGGTCCTCTCCAAGAGCAGCAAGTGCTCTTAACTGCTGAGTCATCTTTCTAGCCCCCAACTTTTCTTTCTTTTTTTTTTTTTTTTTTTTTTTTTGTAAGTTGCCTCCAACTCTTAATTTTCATGGGTAACTTAATGAAAAAAAAAAAAAAAAGCAAGCCTTCCTGGCTTTAGTCATGGGTTCTCACCTTTCTCCTTCCCACATTCCTTACAGAACATCAAATGAACAAAATAAAAAAACTTTAAAATGTTGTTTTAAAGATGACACCATGATCCTACTTTTGAATTATTTTTTTAAATGAAAGATTTATACGATCTGAAGAGATCAGAGTATTGCTTTTGGACTTTTAAAATTGTCCACGTTTTGGCAAAACTCAGATAGGAACAAAACACAATTAATAAAAAGGTATGGAAAACTGAGCAGACAGGGACCAGTAGCTGTCAGTCTTCAAAGAAAATGTAATCCTAATGGGGCACATCTCAGTGGAGTTAATGCACCTGATATGTAAGATTTCACAACAGAGGTTGCCTGGCCCCTTTCTCCAAACTTTAACCAGAAAAATGTCAAGGAAATTTCACCCTAGAGGACTAGAAAGGAATTAATTTGATAGGAAAAAAATACCCAGATTCTAAAATGTAATCCTGTTTAATCAAAATGATCCTGACAACTATTTAACAGCAACATCATTGAAGGGTCGTGTGAGAACCACTGACGGGAAGGCACTGGGCCTAAGGGTGTGGACCCACAGCCAAGAACAGAAGCTCTAATGTCGGGCCAACCTGGGTACCGGTCCCAGGGTCGTCCCTCGTGACCTCAGCAAACCACTAATGCCCGGAGCCCATCCCGGTTTCTGCAAACTGTGATGGGGAGCTATGAGAATTAAAATGTCCTTTGTAGACCAAGAACTCAACCCAGGCCAGGCACACAGAGAAAGTGCTCAAGTTTTGTTATTATTTGTTAACTTTAAGATCATTCTGGATGCTATATGTAGGATGGAGATGTGAAAATAGAAGGTGATTGGCAGGTAGGTGGGTGCTCCAAGACTCCATGCTTCTCAACAGCACCCCTGGGGAGGTGGGATATGATGAGAATCAAAATTAAAATCTTACTGTTTCAAGAATTTTTTAACACTTAGAATTGGACAGTGCGATAGATGCATATTTAAAGGACAATATTATTGATGACAGGAAGTAACTTATTTTGTGTGTCAATGCATAATTATTGAGATTAAAAACATTTTACTTTTTTTTTTATAACATTAAGGGTCTTTGCTATGAGATAGTAAACTCCTCAGTGGCAATGACCCCATATTATTTCCTGATATCCCAAGATCCTAGAAAAATGCTCTGACATATGATATACCTATAAGAATAATAGATAAGATAGTCTTAACTAAAGTCTTATGGAAATATTCACACTTTTTTTTCAGAACATTTTGCTTAAAATGAACATCCAATATTTGTTGTTTTTAAGAAAATACGAAAGCAACCCAACATACATGTATAATTGTGTGCGTTCAGCTGGTTTACCTTCACAGCACTGATAGCTGTGTCAAGTGCCGAAACCTCATGGTCTTTGTGAACGTCCAACACCTTGTCCATTTCAGAGACTGGGCTTTTGCAGGTGTAGCAGTAAGAGTCAACCTGGGCCTTTCTCCGTTCCCTCTGTGTCTTCTCTGTAACCGGCTCCGGGGCAGTCCAGTCGTCTTCTGTCCTCCTTCCGTCCAGCTCCTTCTGTTCGGCAGACATACTTGGCTCCTCCTCATTCATGAGTTCATGTTCCTTGATGTGCTCGGAGGATTCTGTTCCTTGAGATAACACATCTTCGGGTGTGGATTCTGAATGTGGTTCTTCTGGGAAGATGCCTCGACTGGCCAGAGAGTCAACAAACTCATACTCATCCTGTACAGGGATATTGTGGAACCTCTCTTCATGTGGCTCAGATAGGACGAGCTCCTCTTGTGGCATTTCTGGAGCGTAAGTGGCACCAGCTGCAAATTCTTCCTCTGGGAAAGACACTTGTACTGGGACATTCAGATGGACCTCTGGACTGGCATTTCCTGCTTCGCTACCCTGGCTGTTTGGTTCATCTCCACTCTCCAGAACACGGCTGGTGTCTTCAAACGGAACTGCGTAGCTCATCTTCTGGGTGACCACTCTGACTTCCTCTGGAACCGGAGCTTTCTGCTGCACCGCTACCCCATCACAGAGCTCCATGTGGCCTACAGAGTCTCCTTCCCTGTCAACAGCCTTGTGCTGCTCTTCCAGATTCTTCTCCCAAAAACTAGTTTCAGGCTTTCTCCCAATTTCCCTTTCTGCAACTCTCGGTTGATGCGAATCATCCTCACCAACTGGCTTTTCTTCCGGGCCTTGGCCTTGATCCTCTTGAGTTACAGATGTGTCGTGAAGAATGTCATCTTTGAGTATATACTTCTCAAAATACATACCTGTTCCATCCTCAGTGTCAGAATGTCGCCTTGGAAATGACGCCTCAGAATCCACACTGTCACCTTCAGAAGCTGTCTCCCCTTTCTCTTTCTCCCCAAACGCCTCTTCATACAGATCCTTATATAAAAACGCAAGTGCAGGCGGTTCCTCAAGAAGCTCAGGGTTAACAGCCTTGGCGGTGGTGGGAAAGATCTGACTCCTTGATAGAACTCCTTCCTCCACATCAAACAAAGGCATCCCAGGTGATCTGGAATCCACCCCTCGACTGATACCCTTTGACACATTTTCATCATCTGGTTTTTGGATGACCGAAGACTTTTGCATCTCTGTGTGAGATAATTCGCTGTAGTCTTTTGCTGGACCGTAAAAGCTCTCATCTAACTTTACCAAGTCATATTCGGGTTCCAGGACGCCTTCATCTGAACTTTCTGGGAAAGAAGTCGTTGCTTCCATGGCTTCCTTTGGGAATCCCTCAAGAGTTAATTTCTGTTTTTCTGAGTCTGGGGAAAGGTTATAATCAATCAAAGTGTATTTTTCAAAATAATCCTCCTCTTCACTAGAAACTGTGGGTTGAATAAAAGTGAAGTTCCCTGTTTCTGACTCGGTGGCTATCTCCTCTTTTGTCTTCTGAGTTTCCTTTGGCTCGCTTCCTGTGAGTGATGTGCCTTTCCTACCAGGATCTTCTAACTTGTCCTTCCGTGCTTTTTGGGAGGCAACTCCCTCACTCTCATCATGCAGGGCTATAGTTTTAAATGAGGCTTTCTCCTCCAAATACTGTAACTTATCTTGCATTTGTTCACTTTCTTCCTGGTCCACAGAAGGGATGAAGGCAGGGGCATGGATATTCAGTATCTCACACCCTTCAGAAATGATGCTGAAGGCACTCTTCTGGTCCTCTGAAAGTCCAGCTGGCTTGCTGGTTATTGCAAATTCTTCATCTTTCACGGAGGTGCGTCCGAGCTCCTGAGATGTGCCTCTCATAGCAGCCGTTCCATCAGCACTGATTGCTGACGCATTAAGCATAAACTGAGTATAGTTGCTTGCTGCTGAAGAGAGTGGTTCATTTCTGTGCATCTCCTCCACAGTTTCCGAGTGACTCTTTGAAACAAGAGTAGACTGTTTCGGCATCCTGGTCAAGTGATCTTTAGACGTCTGGATAGTGTGGACTGTAGGCCTCTCCAACCATGTTTCAGGTTTCTTCACTGTATGTTCTAGAGAAGTTCCTGAAACAAGAGTTTGTGGTTCTACAGATGACAGCTGAGTGGGCGGTCTTCCCAAATGCTCTGTTTCATCAGGAGTGTGCTGTGATGTCCTTTCAGCATCCTTAGATAGAGATCTTGACTGCATACTCTCATCCGCAGCAGCCACTAAAGCACCAAAGGACAACTCTGGCATTACGAACTGCCCCCTTTCCTCGTTGAGACTCACTCTATTCTCACTTGATTTCTCCAACTCCAGATTTCCTCCCTGAGTCAAAGAAGGGCCAACCATTTTCTCCCCATGGGGAGGCTCCACACGGGAAGACTTGTTTTTTTCTACTGAAGTTTTACTCTCTTCCAGGGCATGTAGTTGGGTTTCTGCTGCCTTTCTCTCCCTAATTTCTGGGTATACCTCTGTGAATATGTGTTCTGGTTGTTCAACAATGGGTGGTGGTTTAACCAATGAAGGTGGTTGGGCTCCACTCAAAGAGCCAGCCGATGCTCCAGGCGCAGCCATGGCTGCAGTTGGAGAGTAGGGTCCACGTCCCTGCTTCTTTCCTTCTGAAGACGCCCATGCCTGTTCTTCCTTTTCTTTCCTCTCCTCCAAAGCAAGAGTCACCCTGGGTTTTTCCATGAGCTCTTCACTTGGAGAGATGCGCTGTTCCAGCTTCTCAGCGGCTTTTGATTCTTCCAACTTGAAAGGTCGAGATTCCGGCGTCATTTGCAACTTTCCTGCCGCCTTATTTTCCCTAAGCTCCGAGGGAGCCATGATTTCTTGTTTCTCTGCCAGCTCCCTCTTCTCTGCCAGGGAAAACGATCTAATTTCCCAGCTATCCTTCTCTGTTGGGAGTTTGACTTCCTCTTCACGGTGTTCCAAAGAAGTGGGTTTTGGCATTTCTTTTCTTAGTCTGTCTCCACCAAGATCAATTAAACCGCCTTTTGATTCTACTGGCAAAATCACTGGTGCTGGCTTCTCGGGTTCCTCCGTCCTTGTGAAGTCGGATGGAGCTGACTTGGGCTGTTGTGGCATTTTGTCTACTACGTCCGGTGACAAGATCAATGTTTCTTTGTGATCACCGCTCGGTTCTTCCTGAAGAGCAGAAATCCTCCACGAAGATGGAGGAGAGATTTGTGGTTTCTGGTGTCTTTGGCTCTGGGTAACATGGGAAGGAACACTGTTTGGGGTTTCTTCCATGGCCAGTTTCTCACCCATGGGAGAACGAGGTTGAATTCCAAGATGTTTGCCACCGGCTGGCGTAGCTGAGCTTACCCCTGTTCCCTCCAAATAGCCTTGAGATTCTTTCTCCCCATAATTTTCAGAGTTGGATTCAGGCTGGTTTAAAACTTCCACATTTGATAAAAATGTGAGTTTTTCTTTAAGGTCTGGACTTTCTCTGGATTTAACTGACACACCCTTGAGTTCTTCAGCCAGTTTAACTGCATTAACCTCAGCAGGAACTGCACCTTTAGGCTCTACGGCTGTGGCTGCTTTCTCTACAGAGGGACTTGGCTGGGTTTCTAAGTCTTCTTCCTTGTCACTGACTTTATTATCTGGAGTGCTTGATCCAAACAATAAGTTAGACATCCATGATTTGAAGGATGAAATTCCTCTCTTCCCCTTCTCTGCAGGAAGGCCTTGCTCAGCCACTGATGACTTCTCAGATGGCCCTTGTGCCAACTCCGGTGTCTCTGGGGCTTGAGGTGTGACATCAGCTTTGACTGCAGGGACAGATTTACTTTGGATGGACACTTTCACGTTGGAGGCTGGTTTTCTCCGTTCATGGGCATCATCTACAGCCTTTGACGGAACCCGTTCTGGTTCTTGAGGTGGCTTTTCACCAGACACCGGCACTGTGCTTGCTTCCTGGTCATTGTCCAGTGTGGGTTCTGCAACTTCGGCCAGGAGACGTGCTGCTCTGGCAGGAATGGGGGCAGCTTCTGCCTTTACCTGTTCCGCCGATGGGCCAGGCTCTGATTTCTGGAGAGTTCTTTCAAGAGGTAGTTTGATTTCCTCCTGGGTTTCTTCTTCGCAAGGCCTGGGAAATTCTGTATTCGTTTTCTCTGGTATCGAATTTTCACTCTCTGTGAAAGAATTGATCTGCCTCTCCTCTGCTCTGCCTCGCTCCACCTTTCCAGCTGGAACCACGGGCTGTGGTTCCTGAGGCATCTTTATTTCTTCAGAAAGGGAAGTCTTAGCGGGTGAGGTTTCTATCCTGCCACTAGGTACATGAAGGGTAGATACTTGTTCTTGCAATGGCAAATGGGGTTCTTCCACAGCTTGTGGTAGAACCTGCTTTCTGATTCCAGATATGTGGTCTGTATCCAATGGAGCAGCCTTGAGTTTCTCTGGCATCAGCTCATTGCTGTCAGGGGACTCCAGCTGCTGAGATCCTGGTTTTCTATCTTCATGCTGATTGGCCAAGTCCTCTGGCTTTTCCAGAATCCAGGTGTTATCCTTTGGAGAAAAGAGAGTCTCCTTCTCTTTTGTTCCTGTAACATCGGCAGACTCAGTTGTCATAAACGATTTGGATTGCTCCAAATTCTCTTTCCTATCTGAGACATGTTGACTAGCCAGATCTGGTTTATCTGCGAAAGAGCTGCTCACATCAGGCACCTTAACAGCTTGCCCCTCGTGAAGGGTTTTTTCGAGCTCCCTTTGCCCTACAGGGAGGTCAGAAGAAGCAGTCTCTAATGGAGATGTGGCTGGCACAGGAAATTCCCTCTTTTCCTCTTGTTCTTTTCCTCTGCTCCTAAGCTTGGTGGGGCCCATTTCCAAGACAGAAGATGCTGGCTCAGTTACAAATGGTTTTAATGGGTCTATACCTAAGAATTCACTTCTACCTCTACCACCAATGAGTTCTGACCCAGCAGCTGGTGCTTCTGATAATTGTTTGTGTGTCTCCTCAGGCTCCAGGGGGAGCTTCACGAGATCTTGCTTTCCTGACAGGAAAGCCCCCGGCTCCGAAGAAGATGTCTCCTCTGCTTCTCTGTTTATCTCCTCCCTGAGAGCCAGTAACGTTGGGGCTAAGTTGTCTGACACTAAATTTTCAGACTCAAGAGACCTTATTATCTCCTCAGGTTTGTCATTTGGAACTGTGTGTTTGGGTGCAGGTGACACTTGTGGGGGAGGAAGCTCACTGTCTTCTTTCTTTACCTCACCACCTAAGTCGACGGGAGGTTTGGGTTGAGGCCTTGACATCTCTGAGACAGACACCAAGTTCTTTTTCTGTGATGAAACTGAGCGTTCAGAATCGAGAACTGCAGGGAATGAAAGGCCTTGTTTGTCTTCTGCCCTGGCTCCCCCAGACACATCTGCCTGCACTTTGGAAATGGACAAACCAGGTTTAACGCCTTCAGTTTCTACTTTTGACCCAGTAGAACGCTGCGATGGAGATGACAGACTCGGAGATGAATCTAACTTCGTTTCTTTCTCTGCTCCCGGCCAAGCTGAACCTCCAGACGAAGAGCTGTCGGCGAGCCCTCTAATTGGTTCTTTCTCTTCCCCTATGAGGACTGAGTGCTCGCCTCTGGAGGTGATGAGTGGTGGCGAGCTTCTTCGTAATTCGCTCTTCCCTACCCGCTTTAAGCCGGGGTGTCCCTCGGGGCTGGTGAGAGATGAATCTGTCAGGCTTTCGTCTCTGCCTAACTCAGTTAAGTTCGAATCAAGCTTAGTTACTGGCACCGTGGTGGCAGAAAAGCTGGCTTCGGTTTCTTTCTGCATTTCTTCTGACAAAGGTGTACATGCTGGCGGTGCGGGTGGACCATGTTCAGCCTCCCTTTCCATCCCCGCCGAAGCTGCAGGAAGTCCCCTGGCTATTTTGGAGTCCCGCTTCCCTTCCGTTTTCACTCCAGATAAAACCTCACATCCAGAAATAGATGTTTCCTCTGGAGGTGAACGCGGTTTTGCCACTTCAGGCTCATTCTTTGACAACATTCTATGTTCTAGTTCAGAAGTCACAGTTGGAGCTAAATCGGGTTTGACATCCGCCTTTGGTTCCTGTGCCGAGTCAGACAAAACTGAGTATTTCATCCCAGACCCTGGAACATTCGGGGGCTGAGGCTCTGGTGTCTGATCCTGTGATGCGCGTGCTGCCGCTCCTTGAGAATCCGGCACAGTTTCTTCCCTTCTGACTTTTGGCAAAGCCATCTGCTCGTGGGCAGATTTTAGAGAGAGTGATGCTCTGGGTTCCTGGTCTGTCTTAAGGACGCAGGCTGACTCAGATGGAAGTGAGGACCGAGATGTGGGCAAAATGGGTTCGGCTTCTTCCTTTCCCGCTGGGGACAGGGCAGATGAAGAAGCAACTGTCGAAGCTGCTGCTGAGCGGCCCTTAGCATCTCCCTCCTCCTGGTCACTGGTTAAAGGTGGTGGTACCAAACCTCCAGCCTCGGGCTCCAGTGATGTTTGAGTTTTCTGCTGCTGGGCCAGGATGAGATATTCGGATACAGATGTTGAGATTGTTGGAGCATCTGGCATAATTTCTGCTTGGCCTGTTTGATTTGCTGAAGGTGGCAGACTCAGGTCTTCGGATACAGGCATGAAAGGGAAGGGCCTGGCCTTTTGCTCCTGTGCTGGGTCAAAATGCTCGGGAACAGGTGTGAGCACTGATGATTCTGACTCTTCTCCATCTGCTTCTGAGAAGTAGGGGTATTCTGGAGCAGACCTCGTAGTTAGTGACGAGTCTGGCTGGGCCTCGTTGTGCTCTGTTTCTGGAATTCTGTATGGTGGGATTGATACTTGTGATGCTGAATCCGGAGAAAAAAGCTCCGCCTCTTCCGTGTCTTCATCTGACAAAACAGTATGTTCAGATGGTGATGTCAAGCACAGTGGAGAATCACGACCCAGCTCTCTTTTCTCTATTTCCTGAGTTGGATAAGGTGAGAACGAGAATTCTGACACAAAGGCAGAATCAGGGGAGAAGGGCCCGATGTCTCCCTCTTCCTGCTCTTGCTCTGATAGATTTGTGGGTGAGGCGGCACCTTTTAGAAGCAGAGGGGATGATGTGTGGACAATCTCTTCCTCCTGGGACTCTGGTGTTACTGATGGTGTTGGTACTGAGAGTTCAGAAGCAGATGTGGAGGGAAGTGAGTACCGCTGGCCTGCTACGGTCCCTCCGTCTGGTAGGACCACATGCTCAGATGAGGCGGCTGAAGGAAGTGGGACCTGACATTCAGAAAGCATCTCGGCTGCGTGTGGTGGGACAGCGTGTTGAGATGCAGACACCACATCCGGTGAAGACGGCCGCACATCTCCCTTTTCTTCTTCTAACAGGGTCACGGGCTGAGGAATGCCTTTTGGTTTGAATTGGGGCATGTCATCAATTGTTTTTTGGGGGGATTCCTGTGTTACATTTTGTGGAGTTGAGGATTTAGGTGTCAGTTTTGAATCTGACGTGAAATGTTCACTTTCTAGATGCTCATCTTCTGATACAACTGCATGTCTCAGTGTGGCAGCCAGGGGTGGTGGTAAGTGGCGCTCAGAAGCCTTCTCAGTTAACCATGGTGAATGAGAGTATTCAGAGGTAGCATCCACAACTGGGGGGTGAGGCCCCACGTCTTCTTTCTTTTCTTCTGTCGTAATCATGGGCTCAGAAACATCTCGGGACTTTAATGGGGGCTTATGGTCACCCGTTCTTGCCAACAACTCTTGCGCAGCATGCTCTGGGCCTGAATACTCAGTAGCAGGCGCAGACTCTGGTGTGTGACGCCTACTGTCTGAGGCCTGATCTCCAGACAGGACCAGATGGTCTGGTGTGACTGGTGAAAAGAGTGGGGACTGGGATGCAGATGTCTTCTCAACGGTGGATGGAGAGAGAGAGTGCTCAGATTCAGATGCCACGGCTGGGATATAAGCCTCACGCCCATCATCCTCCTCCTCCGAAAATACAGCAGGTTCAGAGGTGGATTTCACATCAGAGAGAGAAACTGCCCCAGCGTCTTGCTTCTCGGGTCCACGATTCAAATCCCGTGGGACAGAATACTCAGATGCAAACGCAGAATCAGTAGAAACAGACTCACTTTCCTCTCTTTCCTCCTCAGACAAAGAGACATGTTCAGGTGTGAATGTCTTCTGAGACGGTAGAATGGACTCTTCTCCGTGCTGCACTTCAGGGGACAAAGGTGATGGGAAAGGCTCCTCAGAAACTAACGGACTTTCTGGGTAATCAAGTTCTATGATCTCTTCTTCTAGACTAGAATCTTCGGGCTCAGTGGTATCCATGATCTCTAATCCCTTCTCTAGTTCTTGTGAGGCTCGGGAGACAGGTGGCTCAGGCGCATGCTCCTCCTCTCTATGAACTATGGGCTCAGGCGCATGCTCCTCCTCTCTGTGAACTATGGGCTCAGGCGCATGCTCCTCCTCTCTATGAACTGCAGGCTCAGGCGCATGCTCCTCCTCTCTATGAACTGCAGGCTCAGGCGCATGCTCCTCCTCTCTATGGACTATGGGCTCAGGCGCATGCTCCTCCTCTCTATGGACTATGGGCTCAGGCGCATGCTCCTCCTCTCTGTGGACTATGGGCTCAGGCAAGGTCAGGTGTTCAAAGGCTGGTTCTGTCCTTTCTATTGAAGTCGGCTCTAGCTCTTCCTTGGCTGACTCAAACTTTTCTAGGATGGATGGTGCCAGTCTTAGTGGTCCTGTCTGCAAAGACTCCTCTGCCTCCTGTGACATGGAATGGTCGACAGAAACCATGTCTTCCTGTTTGACATCAGCAGCTGAGCCTGAGAACACCGAAGCCTCGTTCTCTGAACTTTCCATTCCTGGTGAGTCTGGTTCAAATTCTTCCTCTGCTTTTTCGAGGACCGTTGTTGCTGGTGTGCTGGGTGGCTCTGTTCTGTGGGTCTTTGATTCGTCAGCTGGCTGCTGTGGCACCGTCTGTGGAGGTCTTAGATGTTCTTGGTCTGCTGTATCTTTTCTGGAATAAGAGGACGATGTGTGCTCGGTTGCAGACATGGCATTGAAGGGGGAATCAACATACACTTCCTTTTGCTCTTCATGACTAAATAATGAGGTCATGGACTTTGGCCCTTTGGAGAGGGCACCTCTCCAGGGTGGAGCAAGCTCTCTCACCCTGTCATCTTCTGGGCTTTGGGCGACTACTTTACTTCTTTGGGAAACTATGTTAGAACCACTATTGCTCAAATCCGGCTCTAGACTAATGGATGCATCTTTTCCTTTCCTGTAATGTATTTCCTTAATTACATAACCTTTGGGCAATGTCCCATAAAATTGTAGAGGAATTAATTCTTCCTTAACTGAATTGAACATCTTAATTTTGTATTGTACCGTTCCTATGTAGACTGGCCTCAACACCAGTGGTTTGTGCTCTTTGTATATTGCCCCGGTGATGGGAGGCGTGTTTGACGTTGTTTTCTTCCTTCTTGTTTTATCGTAAGTGCCCATAGGTGACTTCTCTTTCTCAGCATTGAGTACTGGGCTTTCTGAAATTAAAGGGCCATCTTCCTTGTTTGCCAGAACATCTTGCGATTCCAGAGAATTTCGTTTTTTGCTGCCTTTCCGACGTAACGATGGTGAGCCACGCTTGGACTTATGCGTTCTTTTCCGCGTCTTTTTGACTTCATCCACAATAAAGGAAACATTCCCTGGAGGGGAATTCAGAGCTGACCCTTCCAAACTACATACGCCAGAAGTCTGACTTTCTTCGGAAGCCCAAGGAGTAGAAGCTCCGCTGGAATTGGTCTCCCAGGTTATTCCGCTGTCTTCCCGTTGGACCGCCACCATGGAGAAGGAGGGATCAGAGATGATGCACTCCTGCCTGGTCTTGCCCTCGTCATCCTCCTCTGACAACCTGCAGTTCATGACATCGATAATTATATGTCACAGTAATAAGATAATGTTCATATTCATTATTAGAATGAGTAAAGGTAAAAATAGAGAACTCAATATTCCCATCTACCTCAAATGTAGGGGTCAATATAAAATAAAGTTAAAAAATTAATGTCAGGAGAGCCAGTGCAGTCACATAGCCCAGGACAGAATGACTCAGCAGCTGAAGTTCATTTTTGCATCTTCCCTCTGCTGGGTTTCCCTCCTGGTCCTCCCACGTTCCCCAGTCCCCGAGGCTCCCTTGACTCACCAGGACCCTCATGTGACTCTGCATCAGCGCTCTTTGTTCCCACAGTTGCCGCCAAGCCCAGCTTTGGACCGCCCTCTTCTGTCTGCTTCCTAAAAGGCCGGCTGTGGATGCTTGCCTCTTCTATGTGCCCATCCTCGCCCCCCCACCCCCATTGTCCGTCCAGGCTGGCCTTATCAAGCATTTCATTAGCACACTCCTCATTAAAACAAGTCTCAATAATCTCTTTATACTTACAAAACAGGAAGATCAAACTCTGAGGCTCCCCAGTCCCTATCTGATTTTATTTCTAAGTACCTGTCGCCGCCTCCTCTTACATGAAACTTCTTTTTTTTATTAAGAAATTTTTTATTCATTTTACATACCAATTACAGATCCCCCTCTTCCCTTCCCTAGCCCCTCCAACCTCCCCCTCCCAACCCACCCCCATTCCCTCCTACAAGAAGGTACATGATTAACTTTTCTTTTCTTTTCTTTTTTTCTTTTTCTTTCTTTTTTTTTTTTTTTTTTTTTTTTTTTGGTTTTTTGAGACAGGGTTTCTCTGTGTAGCTTTGCGCCTTTCCTGGAACTCACTTGGTAGCCCAGGCTGGCCTCGAACTCACAGCGATCCGCCTGGCTCTGCCTCCCGAGTGCTGGGATTAAAGGCGTGCGCCACCACCGCCCGGCTTCTTTTTTTATTTTTCAAGACAGAGTTTCTCTGTGTAGCCCTGGCTATCCGGAAACTCACTCTCTAGCCCAGGCTGGTCTTGAACTCAGAGATCTCCCCGCCTCTGCCTCCCGAGTGCTGGAATTAAAGGCGTGCGCCACCACCGCCCGACATGATTAACTTCTATTGTAAATACAATCATGTACCACAGAATAGCACTTGGTTAACTGTGGACCGCATTAACAACCATGGGCCTAGGAGACTCGAGTGGCGCTGGGGACTTCCTCTTGCCTAGCGTCACTGAAGCCATCATCACATCATAGCTCAATGAATTACTTACATGTTTGTGATGATATTGGGGGAAAAAAAAAACCCTAATACACTTCCAGTTGCATAAAAGCATAACACATGCAGTTGCATAAAGTATAAAATGCTTTGTAATGAATAAGCCATGTTACTAGTTTATGCTCTCGTTCTTTATTTTGGAGTATATTTCTATAAGAACAACAAAAACAAAAACCTCAGCATTTGTCTCGCATGTGAAGTACTGTGGGTTTGATTTCCAGAACCATAAAGAAAAGTTTATGGAAGACTGTATGGCATGGCGTGGCATGCCAGCAGCTGCCTGTCCCATATCTACTGTGCCTCTTAGTTGCATCTGGAGGCTGTACCTCAGGCATGATTTCTTAGCACTCTGTTTATGTATTAACTCATCCTTACACCTCCATAATGTATTCTATTACTATCCTTATTCTACAGATGACGAAAGTGAAGCATGGTGAGAAGGCTTCTGACTTTCTTTCTCATAACTGAGTTCCCACGAAATATTTACTAGATAGTGAATGAGGTACACTAACTACAGGAACATGCTCCAAGAAATGCACTGGGTAGTGATTGAATTGTTCTGTAAGCATCATAGCATGTACTAGCACTAGATGACAGAGGTATAGCTGGTGCTCAATAAATGCTATTTGCAGTCAGGTTTTCCATATAATCCTTGACCTAGAAACTAAAGAGAGCTGGACACAGCTGTTTTCGGTGGTACAGATGTTTGGAAGGGCTGTGTGCGTGGCCTGCTCCCGTGGGCCCTCTTAGACGACAGCTGGGATGGTCCCTGCAGCGGCCGTCACACCCAGCATCAGGCTCTGTGGCCATCTTCCGCTCCTTTGCTTTGCTGTTCCTCCTTTGGAATGTTTCTCGTCCTCCATACCCAACCTCTTGTGCACGTCTAAATTCTGTCTACCCAGCAAGGCTTAGTTTTAAGACTTCTGCTGTGACTGTTCCTGACTGATTTAAGCAGCTTTGTTGGATATTGGCCATTGCTTCGTAAACACTAAGCTGGAGATTAAGACTCCAGGAGTCGCTTCTCCTAGGAATGTAGCTATAATTTGAGATAATTCCAAAATGCTAATTGGCCTGTTGTACTCGTCTACATCCAAAGAAACAAAACTATACAACCGTTAAGTGTAAATGTTAAAGGTAAGCACTTTTTAAACAAAAGACATACATAACAAGTTTAGGCCCCTTATTGACTTTTTAAAAAAAATCATTATAGTCTCTGCTTCTGTGACTGGCTCTAGACTCAGGAGTACTTCAGAAACACCTGTAGGGAGCCTTAAGAAAATACCACCACCACCCACGCCTCTGCACAGACCCTGGTTTTCCTGTTAGGACAACATCTGGCCATTGCTATACTTTTGCTATACAACTCTGGGCAGCTCCAGTTTGCACACAGAGTTGTGAAGTACTTGCCTGAACTGACCTATCGCTGAGACTCACGCAGAGTCTTGCTGGCTCTGGCCCTCTCCGGATGTGCTGGACTCTGCTGAGGAACAGGACTGAAAATGCCCACGGGTGTGTTCAACCCCCCTTGCTAAACTTCAGCACCCCCAGGTGTCTGTTGCAGAGGGCCCGGATGTGCTGAGCTCTTACCACCTCAGTGCCTAGCACATTGGGACATTAGCCTCCTCCCATGCGCCAGCCTGCTTTAAATAACAGTAAGTTTTGCAGATTCCTTTGGAGGAAAAGCCTGGAAAGAAGTGGGAAGAATTCATTTTCCCATTTTCCTGGCATCTCTGCTCCCCTTTACTTGTTTTGGTATCAAACCATTAAACTTCATTGGGAATTAATTTTGGTCCTAGACTGAATCTTATTTTCTTTCCAGGCTCTTTTCCATATTTAATTGAGGTTATTCTTCAAAATGCTCAACTCATGCTGTTCTTTCTCTAACATGTCACTCCACAGAAATAGGATGGAATTCGAAATGAAAGTTATGCCACAGGTTTGGGAGTCAGTGTTGGGATTGCCTGTGAGTGTAGTCGCATTATAAAAGCAATTAGAAATTCAATTTAGAGTCCATTATCGATTGTAAATTCAGTGTACTCAAGCAGAGGCGGTTTCATTACCAGCTAGAATGAGTTCAGGAGTGCTGAACAGAGCACCCGAAAGGTAGCAATAAGAAAACAGAACCCTGCCGAGATAGAGTCACCTAATCAACCATGCGTGTATTCATTTACTAATTATTTCTACACTTAATAAACTTTTATTAAGTTTAGATAGTAAGAAATATAAATATAAAGACATAGGTCCTTCCCTCACTAATTGTAGAGGTCAAACCCAGGGCTCTGTGCATGCTAGACAAGGAAGCTACCACAGACCAACATTTCCAGCCTGAGACCATCCTCAAGAAATTGAAATCTACTACAGTGTGATAAATAGTATTAGGAGAGAAAGGAAAGGTCCAATGAGGACAAAAGGGGAGGTTTCACAAAAGAAAGATGCTTGTGTCTATAGCCAGTTTACAGAAGACATGGGAATTTGGAAATGGATGAGAAAATGAGGTGTTATGAATATGGTAGAGCTTACTCCAGGAAAGGGCCACAGGATGTGGAGACTGCGTATATGAATAAGTAACAGCTCACTGAGAGACTACGTTGAATTACCAGCAATGTCTTAGTCACTGTTCTATTGCTGTGAAGAGACACCATGACTATGGCAACTCTTATAAAAGAAAGCATCTCATTGGGGCTGGCTTACAGGTTCAGAGTTTTAGTGCGTTATCATCATGGCAGGAAGCATGGTGGCAGGCAGAATGGCAGGCAGGCAGACATGATGCTGGAGAAGGAGCTGAGAGTTCTACATCCAGATCCACAGGCAGCAGGAAGGGTGAGACACTGGGCCTGACTTGGGCTCTCAAAACCTCAAAGCCTACCCCCAGTGACCCACTTCCTCCAACAAGGCCACACCTCCTAATATTTTCAAATAGTGCCACTCCCTAGTGACCAAGCCTTCAAATCTGTGAGCCTATAGGGGCCTCATTCAAACCACCACAAGCAGCAACGGAGAATGACTATCTTACCATGTATTAAGCCATAACCCCAAAATTAATATTATACTCCATCTAAAGGAACAGCGAACTGACTTAACAGGAGATAAATTGTCCCCAGAGAGCTCAGGAATGTTCCTAGGGTTGTTTCTCACTGGTAACCCAAGTCTTTGCATTCAGGTATCATCTGCTTGTGGAATTAAAGATACTGGCTATGAAGATCGTCTCCTCTGTTCCTCTCCCACTGCATTCTGGCAAAGCAACTTTCTGATCATTTCTCAGCTTCCCATGTAGACATAGGTGAGGGTGTGAGGTAGACGCGCCTTCAGAGTTGACCAAGAAAGAGATTCAGCAGGTGTGAGTCAGGTCAAGAAAACAATAGACCAATATCAGAGATGAGTCCTGAAGGCTCCTTTTGAGAACTGCCTTTATCTGACTAAGGAGGTTTTTTTTTTATTGTATTTGCTAAGACTGTTCTTTAAACATTATGAATCAACGTCAGTTTTATTAAAATAGTTTTTATGTTGATGATAGACATGATCATATTTTCTCTTTTATCTTGCTCATGTGAATTACAGCGACCAATACACAGAAACTAACTTTGATCTCCTGAATTTCACTCAATATGGATATGATGTTATACCTTTTATATAATGCTGGATTTGGTTCTACCACATGTTTAGGAATGATGCATTTTTCATGAGTAATACTGGACTGCAATATCCTTGCTTATAACATGTTTTC